GGTGGGAACTCAGTTGGGAAAATGCTGCTCTGAAAGTTGCAAACTATGTATATTTGGACAGGAAGATTTTTTTCTATGTTGAACTTGAATTAATTTTGCCTTTTTTATCAAATGCTACAAGATAGGCATGCTAAAGCCATAACATTTCAGAAACGATGATTGTCCTGCCTTAAAGGATCATATTTAAGTCAACATTACTACGGCAGACGAAGTAATGTTGAAAAAAAACTACATGAAAAACTACAAATTGTTTAAAACAGTAAGAAACTCACAACTTACCCATTAGATTTTTTGTTTGTTGATGAGGAAGCCATTTCCAGTTAAAAATCCGCAAAAAATGCAAAGCAGTTCAACATACAACCCTATCGTTGTCATAGAACGATAGATCTGATTTCTATCGTACTAGAACGATGAGAGAAAACGATAACGGAAGGGGAATCTCCTATGGCGCGTGCGCACTAACGAGATTAGGCTGCCTATGGTTATCGTTATGGTTATCGTCGCCTGTGCTTAAACTGCCTAATGAGGAGGATTATCATGTTCAAGTGTTATCTAATAGACGTGTTGATTGCTTGGGTGGACCGCCGGCCCGGGACACACCGAGCCAGTGGACCGCCGCCCTGTGGCACGCCGAGCCAGTGGACCGCCCCCCGCGACACACCAACCCAGTGACCCGCAAGTCCCCCCCCAACCCGAGCTGCAAATTAGCAAAGAACGAACTAACGCCATCCCCAACACACAAAACCCCCCTCACACAAAACCCCCAACCAGACGACCTGCTCCCCGCAGAGGCGTGCCCCTTGCTGGGGCGTGGCTCCTGCCCAAAAAAGACTCCCACCAAAAAGAGGCGCTGGCGTGCTCCCCCGCAGAGGCTGAGAGAACCACGCTCTCTGCCCATGTATATAACACACCGGCTTTCGTTGGTCCACAGCTGTGGACAACTGGTTCATCAACCTCGTTTTGGATATAAATAATAGTGGTGACGTTGGTGCTGTGGTCATAGGTCATTTGAGGGTTAAAGTTACAGCGATAAAAGAAGCAGAAATGAGCTCAAACTCTGATTCTTCGACAGAGAAAGATGCATGCGAAGAATTATCGCCAATTCCAAGTGGAAGGAGAAAAAAGAAAGTGGTGAAGGTATCAACAGGAAGAAAGCGCTCCAATTTTGAGACTTACAGTCGTAAAATTAAAAACTTAGAAAACCATGTAAGTATTTGCGTTTGGTGAAATTTGAAAGAAATCTCCAGTTTAAGTTACCTCAAAATAGTTTGCTCGTAAGGTCCCTTTGCTGCCTTCTGTCTCCCACCATTATCTTTGATGCCACAGCCTTGATATCATACTTAGCCAGGGCCTACACCTTGAGTTTAAAAGTGGGGGGGGCAAGGCTAGCAAAAGTAGGGGAGCAAGGCTTTTCCCCTTTTACTGCAGCTTTAAAACTACTTGCTTTGCAAAAAAGTTGGGGGGGGGCATGTTAGCTATACATACGAAAATTTGGGGTGAGACACCCAGCCCCCTCCCCTTGCTCTGGCTTGCCTGACTTGTACTTGCCCTCCATTCGTTCTATCTACTTTTTGCAACAACGTCACAATAGTATGAGCAAGCCCATAATGCTAAAATTGTTTTTAAAACTGTGTTTTTAAAACATTGTCTCTGTCCCAAAAAGTAGCCTATGGCCTCTCACCCTTAAGCTTTTGCCCCTGGGTACTGTTATCTAATCTTTTAGCATCTCTTCTGTCTGGAATCACAGACACTTTTTGTTTCACTCAGTCTCAGAGTTTTAAAGGTAATGAAATGCAAATCCTGATAGATGTCAATAAACAAAACACCCCCAAAAAGAGATAAGGCAATGTCATTGTAGCAAAAAATTGATTTGAGGAATTGTGGACTTTATTTATAAAGTAATTTTCTGATTTATTAGTTTGTCAATATAGTTATTGCTAATTATGTTTATCAAGTTTGTTATATTATAGTAATTAATATGTAACAACATGTAGTTTTTAGATGCTTAATTTTGTTTAATGTATTTGGAGAGCAGGTTATTTAATTGATTAAATCATATTACAAAGATACATGTTGTTTCTTAACTTCCCTGACTTGTTCAAGACAATGTTCAATTAAAAAAGAATACAGATCGTGTCAAGTTTTGATTAGTGATATTTGTGATGAACAACATCAAATTTTTCCAATTAAATTTTTACTCAAAAGGTTCTCCGGCTAAGAAGAAGCTTGAAAATATTTCCAGCACTTCTTATCTACAAAAAAAGAAATGAAATCAAATTTGTGGGTAGGTTTTGTCCCTCTTGGGTATCTTGAAAGTTCAATTTCATGAAATATTTACAATCTTAGTGATTATTTCTTGTTTTTTGTTACTGACAAGCAATTTTCTTAGCAATAAAGTCTTTTTCTTTTGATTGTAAATCCTTCGAGAAAAGTGTACTTTTACATTGCCCTTGCCATACTTCAGACCTGTGATGTGAATTTCTGACCAAGCAATTGGTGATTTTCCCTTAACTGTTTCTTTCTCAAGTGTAATGCAAAAATAGGAATGTGCAAAAATGGAAATTGTGTAGCAAGAGCAAACTGAAAATCATAAACTTAAAATCTGTATCAACAACTAATTTCAAACAGGAAATCAACATTTAGCTAAAGCATTTGAAAGTTCAGAAGAAGTGAGAACAGTGCTGAATACTGCTATGCAAGAAAGCATAGACTTTTCGGAGCCTCAACAGTCCAAGGGACATAAATATGTTGAACAAGACATGCTTAAAACGCTGATTGGTAAGCTAATCTTCCTACATATGCTAAATTGCTTATCATTTTATATAATTAATTTCTGCAATCACTTTATAGCTGTCTGTTAGTGAGGGCTAGACAGTTTCAGTGTAATGTAATGTTGCAATGTCTAGTGCAACCTTATTGCCAATTCCTGCACTGCACTCAGGAAGCATCTTAAACTTGTGGGGGGGATATTGGCACTTTGAGGGCACTTTTTTACTAGAAAGGCACTTAATGGAAATGTGATACACAGCTGAAAAAAGTTAGTTTTCAAGAATGGGATCATTCCAAGGAAAATACTTGACCCCTGCATTGTTCCTGCAGTCTACTTAAACTTTGTGTTTCAGAGGAAAAAGGATTATAAGGGCACTTTCTGAAAAAGTTATTTACTTATCTGATGCAAAATCTTGGGGGAGAGCATTGTGTGCCTTCAATGCCTGCTATTGCTAAAAACTAAAGAGAGTGTATTTGTACAGCATGAATTCATTATATAGTAATAAAGATAAATTGTGTTGGTTTTTTGCATCTTTTGTCTAGGGTTGACTTCCAAATCATTTTCACCTGATATGTGGAATTATCGATATTTGTGTGTCATACCTTTTTACTTCGAACTGCCTGATTCATTAGTATGAGCAACTGGTTGCTATTTTTCTAGACAGCATCTCTTCACTGCTTAAGCTTAGTTTAGCTACCAAAAGAAATGTAGAGTTTAATGATTAATGTCGTGCATCTTGATTGTTTTGTGTGAACTATAACCTGTGGTTGATGAAGGAAACAAGAAGAATAACTTTCTAAGAAATACATATTTTTAAAGGCCCTGAAATAAGAAGCACGATAAACTAGGCTACCTTGCACGTGCTTGGTACCTTGGACTTGTTAGGGAACTACAGTCAAGAGTTGCGAGTTTTCCTAGACAAGGAACGGATAAGTTCAAGAAAATAACTGCAATTTTTTTCATAGATGTGCTTGAAAAAATGATCAATTTGCGATACACATTTGTTGTAAAAATAAAATAAAAACAACAATAATGTTTGAGCTTAGACGAAATGTTTTCTTTTTTTCAAAATATTTCGTATCTTAATAGAAATTTTTGTGGATTTTTCAGAAACGAGCGTAGTTTTGGAAAATAGACCATCATTTAGGAGCAGTGATAACTTTATATCTGTATCCCTCTTGTAAAGGATGGGCGTTTCCGCCCTTTTAAAGGGCGTGGCCCCCGGACCCACGTTGTTCACTCGCTTCGCTCGCGATTAATAGCAATTTATTATTGCTCCCTGCCGCCCCTGGATAACAGACGGATTAATCTAGGATGAAGCAATTTAACAACCAAATTGTCTCTGAAGGCCAGCAGAGTCAAAGAAGATTCCATGAAATTCAAAACTTCCCCGTGTTGGAGGGGGAGGAGGGATGTGGCATGCCCCGGACACCCTAACCATAGTCCGCATTCGGGGTTGTCTGCGTCTGCGTGCCCCATCAGTTCTGTGTGCCCCAACTTGGGGGAATGCACCCTTGGAAAATTTCAAGGCGTCTTCTTTGTTTTTGCTGAATGGTAGACACATTATTTTGCTCTCGGAGGTATCCTTTTAGTGATGTATGATCTTGTGCTAATATATTTTCGTAATTTATACGATGGATGGAATAAAAAGAAAAATGAACATCCATAACATACCATGATTGCAAAACAAAGTGAATACCCCTGGCAATAAACTCGGGTGGCCGCGACTGGTCTTGGTGCAAACGTTTTGCTTTTTCGAAACCCGGTTTTGATCTATTTGGTAGCGTCCACGGTGTCGCTTCTGTGGCAGGTCAGGCCAATGTGCAATACTGGACGATGCTTCGTTTTTTTCTCTTGACACACGTAAGCTTTCAGCTTGATTTTTGGGCTGCCTCAAGAACGGGTTCCTGGATTTCTCAACCATCAGCTGGAGAACGCTTAAAAGTGGCTCTGGGCATTTGAAATCTTGCAGCGATGTGACAAGGTCATACAATACTGGAAATTTCCTTTTCATGATATCCAGTACCTTTCTATCAACAATCCCTCCTTCCGATACAAAATTACCCAAGCCATTCTGTAACTCTGAGTCCTGATGTATAATACCGGCAACAGGAGTGGCGACAGCAAGTGCTTCAACGAAGGGGGCCCATGCTTTCGGGCAACAGTATGGCTGCGATCTATGACCTTTGACTGCACTTTCCCAATGATCGTGATCCATGTCTGTGCATGAATGCTCAAGGTACTTTATTAATAAAAAAATCGAAGGATGCAAATCTTCCAACATTTCCAACATTTCGTCATACTCATCCATATTTAGGCGCTTGCTTTTCCTTCTTCTGTTGTCGACGTAGCGAAGCAAAAGAGAACGACAAATGTTATTGCTTACCATTATTCTGTTTTCGAATTTTCTGAGAAAAGATGGATGATTTATTAGAGAACATGAAGTATTTCAAATTTTTAAACATGAATTTCAATATTATTTATAAAGTCCTATATTGATACAAAATAAAATCATATTAGTTAAATATAGTCTAAATGGAGGATATTTGAAGAAGGTTTCTCATGCTTAAAATTTGTTAGACTTATTATTATTTGATGCTAATGAACTTTGCTAGCCAAAGATTGCTCGTCAGGTTTAAAACCACTTCAGTTTAAAAATTTGAATAAGGAATTTGAACAACTTCAACATACGAATATCTAGGTATCACCGGCTCCTTTGTTTGCTCAACTTCGACAAGAAATGAGCGCCAATGCGTTAGTTCTTTCCGAAAAGAAAGGGATGTTGCATCCATTAAAACAATGTCTGGGGCGTTTTTACAAATTTCGCAGCCAAACCCTTGGTCGATATCAATGTCCAGCAATTCCAGGTAACTGTACCACGCATCTTTAAATTTGTTATATGAGAACGTGCTAATCTCACATGAAAGACCTTCGTCGCGTTTTTCCCGTACGTAAATCGTGTGGAAAACGTAGATAGGCATCCTAAGATTTCAAAAAAATTAAGAAAACCATTTGGGAAAACCGAAAAAATTTTTAAGAGGAGAAATTTAGCAAAGTTGTCAAATTGAAGAAAACTTCTAGGTCTTCTATAGAGAAGCTAAATTTGATAAGAGCAGATTGTAACTATTATGGAATAACGAGAACTTAGTAGTAAAAAGCACCTCGAATGCTGGTCCCTATAGATAAACAACCAAGACGAAATTTTCTTTATTCTACCTTGATACAACCAAAACGGAAGTGTTGTCAATTAAACATAACATCTCAATTGGTATATTGATATTATCTTGCTGTTCCAATGAAAGAATGAATCTTAAAAGCAACTATATTATTATTATTATTATTATGCATGTCACTAGACGATAGCTGGTTGTGGCAATTTCATGAAATTGTGTATCGTCTTAACATTTCTTTACTTACCGACCATGAAGGAAGCTTATCATAAAACGCCTCAACAGTTTATGGCTGACCATATACGTCCCCATATTGAGAAGCCCATCCTCAAGTCCATCGTACTGGAAGTTCCATAGGCAAGCGACGTTTGTACAATGTACTCTGTACACTAAAAAAGAAAATACTGCTAAATCAATGGTTTTCCGTCAAATCTTGGCCTTTATTGCTATGTTTAGAGAACTAGCAAACGAAGGAAAGGTTTGAAATCGTTGTTTATCACTGTTGAACGTAGTAAAAATTCGTTCATAGGATACTATGTGTCAAATACAATGAAGTTTGCAAAGTTGAGCATTGGATAAAAACAATTATTACCTTCAGCTGAAACAATGCCAATGTCCATAAATACGGGCACATCACTTTGAAATAGCCAGTTTTCTTTGACAGGATCTTCCGTAGACCAGTAACTGCCACAAGATTTGCAACGGATCCCAGTGGGCAACGTTGGTTTTAAAATTAATTTGTCTTGGGAACGCTGCATAATCATGATTTCTTTTCCAGCGAGGCTGTTTAGCGGACTATAACAAAACGGAATTGCTTGATACGAGAGTGCTTTTCCATTATTTGCCTCTTCTGTAGGATATTCATCTTCCAAAGATTTTAGCAGTCTCGATGCATTCTCTGGAAGAAAGATTGAAGACTCAAGGCTCTTCAGAATCCGAATGTGTCCGCATCCAGTTGAATTTGGACAGTTCAAGCAGGAGAGATGATCTCGAACGACAGCAACTGCTCCAAAGTCATTCCTTTCTTGGTCCCAAACAACGACAGCTTCTTTGTTAGCAAGAATTGGATAAACTGGACATTCAGCTTTGGGACGAGCTTCTGGAAAAACGTATAAATTATTTTGGATTTAATTGAAAGCTTATCTCAAAGCAGATAACAGCTCCTTTCACTGAAGTTAAATTTGAAAACAAAACCTTAAAAGCAGAAAAATGTTTTATTCTGGAAACTGTCAGTTAAAAGACTGGTAAAGGCTCATCGTGTGTCTTTACAGCCGGCAACATTATGCAAAAAAATATTTCGGTGAGAGGAACAGGATACAGGGTTTTCACAAAAATCCCAGAAAACAGCATCTAAAGGAATATAAAATTTCAAAACTACTCTATAGCTTAAAAATTAGATTCATTAGCTTTGGTTTGTACATTCAATATCAATAAAAACAAACAGAGAATTATTATATACCAAATTTCAAAATATAAATGTGATTAGATGCGATGCTCCGAGATGGTGAATGAGTTCCATGATATCAGCAAAGGTTATCCTCCATAAATGGCTGCCTAAGGTTGCTCCCTTTTAAAAGATGTACGATTTCTGTGCTTACATAAAAATGTGTATTGACAGCTTTCAAACTGCCGGTAGTGTATAATCAAAGCTTATCATGAAGTCGTACCTGAGGTGTTTGCATACGATTCCGGGTCCAAGTTGTTTCTTACATCAAAGTCTATCATTAGCTTTGAAGCAGCGTTCAAATGAATGCAGTGCGTGCAAGTGAAATCTAAAGAAATGCAGTGTAGTTGTGAGATGGTTGAAAATTGAATATTGGTTTCCAATTCTAGTAATGAGTTTTGAAACTTTGCAATTCTACTGAAGCTTTTAGGTTGAAATATCACAATGCCTTATCTTTTGCTGCTACTACGATTACAATTTGATAATAATTATGCATTCAATAGCTCCTAACTCTTAATGTTCTTTAAAAAGTATAAATAGCTTCATTCTGAATAAGCTT